ACTAATTAGAGTTTCCCTGATCCTATAAAAAAACAAACAACCAAACAAAAAATCCCCCACATTTATGCAGTGCTTTAAGTGTGGGGTTAGGGGAGGATAGGAAGCATAAGTGTAGAAAACAGGTACAAATTTAGATTCCTTGCCTCCCTTCTTCCTGGACATACAAGTATTTACTCTTAATCCTGACTGGCCAGACCAATGGCTGTATGGCTATATTATGTACCAATATTTGCTAAGGACTTAATCAGCACCTAGAACTTTGTGTGTGTGTGTGTGTGTGTGTGTGTGTGTGTGTGTGTGGTACTTGGTGCTGGGGATTGAGCACAGGGACTTTACACTACGCTATACCTTTAGCTTTTCAAAACACATTTTTTTTGAGACAGGGCCTTGCAAAGTCACTAAGTAAGTCAGGCTGGGCTTGAACTTGTGATCTTCTTACTTCAGTCCCCCAGAGTGCTGTATTACAGGTATGCACCATCATGCCCAGCTCAAGTAGCACATTTTAATGATGAACTCCATTTTCAGAAGCAAAATAAAAAACAGGAAAGGGCTTATCATGGAGATATTATGTGCTTAACTAATGTCATTTACTTTTTTTTTTTTTTTTGGTACCGGGAATTGAACTCAGGACCATGTGCTTGCCAGGCAGGCACTGTGCCACTGAGTTGTATCCCTAGCCTTCATTTCCTTTTTGAGAGTGCTATTTTACTGGTAAATCTGAGAATGATACAGAGCAAACATGGTTTCAACTTGGCTTTGACAGTGTCACTCAATTTTTTATATGAAATGGAGAAATGTGAGCAATATGATATTGTGTTTTCTGGTTAAACCACTGTGCTCAAGGAGGGCTGCTGAAGAACTGCTCTCAGTGTGGACAGTGTCTTATAGAAGTCATGCTGAATAGCTTTCTTTCTGATCTAAACCTGGGTACTATTTTTCTGTGAGAAGGGCAATCTGGTGTTATTAGTACTGAAAGACTTAAAGGTGATCCCATGTGTAGCCAGGGAGGTGAACTATTGATACAGGATCCGTGGTTCACATATACAGTGTTTTCGGCATTGATATCAATAGCTGTCTTCCAGTGATCCAGTGTGTGACACAGCCTCATAGCTGCCTAAAGCAAGGGTAGAAAGAGAACACTTAAAGTTCATTTCACCTTGGACAAAAGTGTGGAAAGGCACACATAAAAAAAGATTTCAAAGGGTTTAGTGTAGACTTCAAGTGGACATCACAGACATTTCAGGAATACCAAATTCTATCAAACCCCCTTGATAAGAACAACATCATTGTGTGTGAATACAAAGCTAATAAATAGGCACTGTCTTTACGCTAAGAAACAAAACCAACAGAAATTATACAGAAATGACTGTGCCTCCTCTTAGAGCATTACAATCACAGGTCTTAAAAAAATGTATCTTCAATTAACAAAAAAGTTGAGATCATCAGAACACAATATTTAATTTGATATCCACAAGGAAAGTTCAATTTTTAACCCCAGTCACTTTGGCAAACAGAAGGAGCAAGGACTTTATTATTGGAGGATGCATTAAAAATGTCCATGGGTTCCAGAACAACATGTTCAAGGCCAATTATGTTGAGTGTAAAGACTTCAGGCAGTGGGGGACGCTAAGAAGCTTGTCTCCTCTCTGTCTCTGGAAGGGTACCAACCTCATAACATCAGTGCAGTTAATAACTCGTTGACCTTTAAAAGGCATTTTATGAGCAAATTAGGTCAATTGGTGCAGAACAATTTACATTTTAAATGTCTCAACCACTTTATAACCAGAGGGAATCATCGCCTACTTGCATCAAATATATGTTAAGGGGCAATATTCACAAAAGATTTGCTCCGTTGAAATTCATACAACAAAACACAGAAAAGCAACAGTGAGATACAAACAACTTTGAAATGGATAGCATGAGAGTGTACCTTGGACCTGTCCTGTTCAGTGTTACCTGCTTCTAGTCATTATGCTGAATCTGTACAGAACCTTCCTCTCCTTGAGGGACTAGGGGTACAGGCAGTGTGGACTGCAAGTTCTTGGAAGAGTAGTGAATCAAATATCCTTTCGTGAGCTGTTAACTCACTAAACATCCTTCCATTTTTTCTTTTCTTACTTTTCTAGTCAGATATGAATTTCCATATATTTTTTCTATAATGAGCAAGATACTGTGCTAGAGGATTTATCTATCTTATTAATTTAGTTTTTACACCAAGTTACCCAGATAGACATTATCTCTATTTTATAGAAAGGAAACAAGTTTACAAAGGTTTTACATGACTTGGAAGTCATGAGCTTGCAGGTTTTAGAACAAAGATATACTCAGATTTTGCTACTGAACCACTTTTCTCATGAGAATATGCCAAGCTCCACTTTACCCCTCTGTCTTCCTTCATTTACTTCACTTCTTTCCTTCCTCTTGTTTCCACCTCAAAGCCTGGCAGTGGAGGACAGTGGTAGCAATGGAAAGATTTTAAAGACAAAATGACTAATTTAGTGCTCATTAAAATTTGTAAAATTCTTGATGATTTTCTTGTTTCCCCACCACACATGGACTGGTCACCAGAATCCAAGAAAATGTTGGCTCCCTACAGGCTCATGCTTTATCTTTTTCTTTTTAGTCTCCTGATGTTTTCAATGACCATATTTTCCAAATCCCAAATAAAGGCATCTATCTTAAGACATTGTGCTTATTTAAGAGACCATGAGGACAGCATATCTGAAGTCAAAATATAGAAAGTACTCCTGGTTCTAGGAGAAATAGATTTAGAATAGACCTAGCTCGCCATGGACTTGCTGATTAGTTAACTGGAGACTGATCACACAAGGAGAGTAATTAGTAAAGTTCGAGTAAGTCCTTATCAGAAGAACTCAACAGGGTGGTCCTTCTGACAAGTCTTCTTGCCAGTACTTTAATGGAGGCTTCCAGAACCTTGTTAATTTGCAAGTACTTGTTTAGATATGAGGTTGTGGAGTCTATGAAACAAGCTGTTAATTATGAATTCTAATCTTAGGCTAGAAGATTCTTATATGATTAAAACTCGTTTAATTTTTTTTTTCTAACCATTAGCCGCCTAACTAAAGAGCAATTAATTATAATTGGGGGACTGAAGAAGGTAATAAACGTGTTGTTGAGATTCGTTGCTTTGTAGAGCCACTTATCTAATCCTTAAATTCTGCAGGTTGTAAATTACACATCAGAAGGCCGAAAGCAAAATAGCTATAATCCACTTAGTGCTTCCAACCTCAGAAGATTTAGAGGAGGAAATCCATGGAAACAACAGTCCTGATGTTTCCTTTCACCGCTATTTCTTAATGAGCAAAGGTAGTTAAACAACAAGGAAAAGCCCATGTAATTATCCTGCTGTGCTGCTCTATAGGTCAGGAGTGGACTTGATTAAACTCATGGAGAGCTGAGCCACAAATGGTGGGAAAATGTCCCCTTTTTCCCATTCAGCCCTGCAGACAGCAAATCAGTGTGTGCAACTCACTTTCAGATCGTTTCATGAGACCAGAGCAATAGCCCATAGCATTCATATCTGTTGTTTTCTAATCAGTGCGGGGACTAGGACAACAGGCCAAGTATCACAGAGGAATTAGAAGGGGACCAGAATGAGGCTGACCCTGCCTCTTCCTAGATAGGGAATGCAGCTCCAATTACAAAATGTTCAACTGCAAAAACAACTAGACAATTAATTTGTAGGTTTGTTTGCACACATAAAAAGCCGCACTGATATATTTGGCTTGAATATGGATTTGACGAGCTTAATGTGAACGTACTTAACTGTTTACTAAGGACAAGAGTTTTTGTATAGCAAAGATAAAATTCAGTTGCAGACTCTTGGTGTTAAGGCTGCAGATGATGTACAGGACGCCTGTGACATTATGCATAAGTTTTGACAGCAGAATTTGAATCTGTGCATATTTCATTTTTCAATGCGATGCCATTTATATACACAAAACACAGCTGCTGGATCACCATTAGGCTATAGAAAGCAAAACAGCTTTCGGCACACGTCTTCTCTGAGCAATCATTGCTTTAATATCCCTTTGCCTTTTTCCCTCACGATCAGTGGAACACCTCTGACTAAAGATGGTGGGGTTGGGTTGTGAAATGCAGCTTTTTGTCTTTGCAGAGGTAACTGGACCACATGGGGATCAAACCTCTGATATGGCAATAGCAAACTGAGTTATCCAATCCAAACTATTTCCATTCATTTTCTACTTGACAGTCTTCTAATTAAATTTGTAATTTCAGCAGGCCGATATTATGTCTATCTCTGTGTTTCATTCAACTAAGCCGTTGTTGCTCAATAAATCATTACTGGTAATGGAGGGAAATCCAATTTAAGAAATTACAGCTGTTCTGGAAACGTATTTATTTACTTTGTTAAAGTAATTACAAAGTAAGTGTTGCCTAGATAGATCATTTGACCATGTCATGCCATAAAAATACCCTCTTCCTTCTACATCTTTGCTTCTTTCAACGTCTCCACGTTTATATAGTGCGACACTATGCTAAAGAATAGTAAATACCCTTTTAATTAGGTATATTATCAAAGCACTTTAGAAAATGGTTGAGATATTGTAAGAGAAACTTCTAAAAGCTCACAAATATTCAAATGGGAAGGGGAACTAGGGAGGAGGGAGAGAGAAGGGAAGAGAAAAGAAAAAAAATGAGAAAAGAAGGAAAAATGGAAATAAAGCTTTTGTAAATAAGGAGGGGAAGAGGTGGTTGAACAGCAGATAGGAGAATGGGAAAAAAGTCAAGTTATATCATGTATAGGTACAAATTCCCTATGATGAATGTGATTATCACATATACCTAACATATACCAATAAACTTAATTAATAAAATAAATAAATAGTATAATAACGTGGTGCTTCTGTGTTACTAGTCCCAGGAAACAGCCCATTCTGGTCACTTTTGGTGGAAGCAAGATCCTTGGTCTTTCCCTTTTCCTGGGCATTAAGTACCTGAATTCTTTTCTGACTTACCCTGAGTGGATTTTCATTAAGGTAAGGGGGTTCACCTTCCACCATTTCAATTGCCATAATTCCCAGAGACCAGATATCAACTTTCGGACCATATGCTTTTCGAGTCACCACCTCAGGTGCCATCCAGTATGGGGTGCCCACCATAGTGCTTCGTTTACTTTGCTCTGGAGTGATCTGGGCACAGAACCCAAAATCAGCTATAGGGAAGAAAGATTAGTTAAAATAAGCCCAGATTATTTTCATTTGACAACAGGTTACTTTTAAATATAGCTGAACCTTCCTTTCTTAGACACTGAGCTTATAAAAGTGCTTAACTCACATCCTTTCATTATCTGATCTCTCAGCTGGTCCTGATTTTTAGGAGTCTGAACTAACTGATGGATGATATGTCATCTTCACTAGATTTCATTATAGTTCTCTCCCTCTTACTATTTATTGAAACCTACAGGTTCTTTCAGTGTTCCAGTTAGGGATTTTTCAACCATTCATTCTAGAAGCTACTAAATGTACTGCAATACTAAATCCAAAAAATCTAGTCACAGTCTACAAACATAATATAAAACAAATTTTTTTTTTTGGTACTTGGAATCGAATTCATGACCTTGTGCTTGTCAGGCAGGTGCTGTGCCCCTGAGCTATATCCTCGGCCCAACAGATTCTTTACTGTATATTGGGCTCTAACTACTTTCATACATATCACTTTCTATAGCTGCTATCTTCTTAAAATAGACAGTTAAAGTGCATGATATAACTTGACTTTTTTCTGATATTTTCTCAAATGCCACTTGGATCAAAATACCTACTCAATTTAACAGAGCCATCCATTCCGAGGAGAATATTGTCACTCTTTATGTCTCGATGGATCACTTGGTTTGAGTGCAAGAAATCCAGAGCTTGGAGGCACTATTGAATCAGAAAAGCAATTCTAATTATACCACAATTTAAAAAAAATTCTAAGTTTCATTTCTAGACAAATTTTGGACATGGGTACAATTTTATGTTGTCAATGAAATAGATTACTTAAAGTGTTTTATCATCACTTTAAAACCACATTACCATTTACAGCAGAGATTCTACTTCATATAATGCATTTGATGGCTATTGTGACAAACTAGGCCATGAAGAATGAGGATATGGTAAGCAGCACTAATGATTAGTACAACCAAATTAGTCAATCAATTAATTATATGTTAGCATAGTTATCCGGAAGATATTGATCCAGTTCGGTCTTATAAAGATATACTAATCCTGTCTGTACATAGAATGATTTGACTTAGATCTGGAGTGAACTCAGAAATTTGAACTTAAAACAAGTACCCTAAGCTATTTCTGATGGGCAATCAGATTTAAGAACGGCTCCTAGACTATTAAGTAATCACAGGTAGTTTTTTGGAAATGTTTTGTATTGTAATAGTAGAAGATGGAAACCACAGGCTCAGGGTAGAATTTCCCCATGAATGACTATAAATTTGATTTAGTGGAAGTCAAAGATCCATAGAAAAGCAACTAAAATAAATACAGCCTTATGAAGGTAGTGCAAGGAAATGCTATGAGGTTAGGACTTAAATTTTTATTTCAGTACAGAAATTGTGCTATTGCTACAGTACAAACATTCTGAATAAGTAGACATAAAATATTGCCAATATTGGTGTCCTTATCAGCAAGAAATGCTCCATTTCTTACCTCTCTGCAGACAGCTGCTATCTGTCCTTCATCCATACAGGTCTCTGTGACCACATCAGTCAAAGAGCCACCGGCCAAGTATTCCATGACTACCCACAGTTCATCACCCACTAAGTAGCTATAAGAAGAGAAGAAAAAGTCTTTGACTTGTCACGAAGGAAGTGGAGACTCAAGTTTGTTAGGTCTCAGTTCTCATAGAAGTCAATTGTGACTGGGCCATGTTCATTATTTTGAGAAGTTATTGAGGATCATACCTCAAGTGGTCAAAGATGGGGGACAAAAGTCACCAGAACCCTACAGTATAGGCAAAGAGCATGAAATTATTTAAATCACCTGGGGCCACCTGAAGGCAATTTAGCAGTACGATCAGGTCTCTTTGGCCTCTCACTTAGCAAGAGAGAGGCATTACAGGGCACTGGATAGCCCCAATGGCTCCACCCTACTCTAAGACTCACATCACTATGAAACAATACTTTGTACACAATTACTCAGACTGCAGTGCTCACAAGACTCATCTGGAAGCTTGTCAAATATGAAAATTCATAGGCTCCATTTCGTGAGTTACGAAGAACAGCTTAGAAATTGGCATTTTTTTACAAGCACGAATGCAATTTTTAGAAAGCTATAAATGTACAGTAACTCCACCGCTACGCTATGGGGGGCCCCAAGGGACACTTTACGTGAAATGCTGATCAAGACTCTGAAATCCTACCCTTCTTTTTTCCTCCCCATTTTTCTTCTGTCTACCTGGCCTAAAACACAGACAACAAGGTCTTACTATCATTGAGGTTGAAGGCCTGGCCTTAGTTTTGTTTTTGTTTTTGTATCCAAGAGAATGCAGCATAGTGGTGTTAAACAAACACTTACTAAAACTGAATGAGACAAATGTTAGCCACAAGTGAAGTGTTAGCATGGCTATTACATGGCTTATAATATGCTGCTAATACTACTGATGAAAGAGACATTAATTACTTGGTTTAGGAAAAGGTTTAAGATTAAAATCTTAGTTCCCCAGACTGCACATTAGTTAATCACAAAGCCCCATTAAAGTAGGGCCAGTGTAGTCAGCCTTCTTCACATAGCCTCTCAGAGATTAGATTGGCTTCAAACGTCTGCTGAAATGTTTATAACATCACCACTTTTCCCTGTATGCAAGTGTCTATTTCCTGCCAATATGGAACCACACACCTCAAAAAGAAATTACACCAATTGTTTATATTGAGAAGCAAGTCCCTAGAACATTTCTTCAAGTGTTTTGATGGGTAGACAAACATACATGGGGCAAGTTCAGCAATAGACCTCACAATCCATCACTTGTTAGTATTTAAGATATATTTGTAGAATTATTGCTAAATGAATAATTCTGCCATAAAATAATTTGCCATGAAAATGGCTTCCTAAAAGAAAACAGGTACATAATGAGAGAGAACACTTACCTATCTAAATAATTAACAATATTGGGGTTCTTATTTTCCCTCATGACCAGAATTTCATTAATAATTAATTCCTTTTTGGGTTGCTGTTGAAGGTTCATTTGCTTTATAGCCACCTAAATCCAACAATTAAAATATGAGAATGAATTACATTTTGTTACAATCAACACAAATATCAATATTTTGGGGACACAGTGTGAGGAGTACAAATTCTTCACTAAGCTCTTTCTCTGTACCACAAACCCATGCCCTTTCTCTTTGGTCAATCATGAATAGACCACCCACTTCAGATCTTTATACACCAATGAAGCAAATTCCCATTTCAACCCAGTTCTACCTACTTTTTTCAGGCACAGATATCATTAATGAGGAAACCTGATAAGTATGAATAAAGGGATAATAATCAGGATTGAATGTTAGCATTTACCTCTTGTCCTGTTGCAATATCTAGTGCTGTATAAACAGTACCTGATGCCCTGTGAAAATGAAAATGATCAAATGAATAAGCAATCAAAGTATTACCAATATATTTTATTTGCATAGTATGTAATTATTTTCAACAGGGGAAACTTTTCTCCTGTGAAACAGGAGAAACTTTTAACACTATTGTGGTAAGAACACTTAACATGAGATATTAACATATTTTTAATCTTAACGTATTTGAAATATGTTAATATATTTTAAACATTGGCATATTTTTAAACACACAGTGCTGGAACAACCTCCTTGTATAGTAATTGCACCTGAAACAATCACATTGTATCCCTTGCGGCAGGCTAGCAACTCCAGTCAGACTTTCTGGCACCAGTTCCTGGACCACGCTCTATGCAATAATGAATTGAGTAAACTGGCTTTGTTCCTCTTAGGAAACTACTGCACTATTCCAAATATTTCTTGGATTCTGCAACATTCAACATCCTAGGGCTTGGATTAAACTGAAATATAACTTAGGAAAAAAAAGTACATCATTTTTGCTTAGGCAACTGTAAATTAACTTTTTAAATTGGGGCAGAGAGCCTCTTCTCATATATTTCAATATTTGAGAATAACTTCTAATGAATTGGTCACTCTCAGCGCTGCTCAGTACTGTAGCTATGCAAAGAAACAGTAATGTGGCCTTTCTATCGAGCCATTGTTTTTCTTTTGGCTAAATTTTTCAACAACCTTTGTAAGACAGCACTCTAGCCAAATATCTTTTTGAAATTTATCATTCTTTCAGCCTTGGTAGTACTTATGCTTGCTCTCTAGCCCCAATTACAGCTCTCCCTTGCTTTGCACGTAGACGTTATATAATAAAGCTGAATTAATGGACTTTTCTGCACATTGTACCTGCATTCCAGATCGCCTCCCACTCCCTCCTTAGAGAAAAAGAAAAAACAACTCAATCAATTTCATTTGTGGTAAATAAAGGAATTAGGATAGAAATCAGTCCTGGGATTCCTAAGTATTATAATGCTCCATCATTGTGATCTAAACTTTTTGGTAATTGTTTCTTCTTTACTCTCTACTCCCCATTTTGCTTTCTGAGTCCAGGAATTCTTTTCTTATGTCATGCATTTCTTTGTAGTTTTTCTTCCTGGATGAATCAAAACATTTTTCATAGGCCTGGGAAGTTTACATTACCCTCTCCCCAAAAATAAAATGGGTAGTGTAGTTTATGAAATATTTGACTGTTACAGAAGTTCTAAGTTCTAATATGTGGTCTACTGTCAAGCGGCTCCGTGACCTTCGGCTAGTCATTTCTGCTGACTGAGTTTCAGTCCTCTCACATGGAGACAGTGATAGCAGTAAACACTGACTGAGCAAGCTGTGTCAGACACTGTGATAAAAACTTTATATAATTTATTTTTGGGATCATCACATTTATATATAAAGCAAGTCTATTATCTTCATGTTATAGATAAGGAACCTAAGGTTCAAAGACAGTAATAATCTGCGAAAGGTAATGAAGAACTATACTGCCTTTGGTATGCTGCTTGGGCTTAAAATACCTGTTGGAAATAGCCTAAAACATTAACTGGGATGCACTTAATAGGTGCCACTCAACCGGGGTTTGGTAATTATAGAAGTTTCTTAGGCTGGAGATTTATATCAAATAAACCATTCTCTCAATTTTGTATTCCCAAATTATGGGTTTAGAGCATAGAACTGCTGCCAATAAATATTTGTTGAATGTACACATTGATAAAAATATTCCCATGCAAATCTGCAAACTTAATAAGAACTTCCCTTTCTGTAAAGGAAACATTTCTTCTACTTCAATCAACATGAAACATTGAGAATAAGCTATCAGACATTCCTGACTTCAGGGGACAGTACCTGATTTGCCCTTCTTACCTCAGAATTGTTCTGAGCTCAAAAGGAATAGATCATCTCAATCTTGTATGTATTTCAGCTGCAGTAAGCGCTGAGCAACTACTTAAACCTAATTGCAAAATATGATTTTTAAGCACCTTTTTTGGTTTATTGCTATATATTGAGGCCATGTACACAACTTCTTGAGTTGCAAGAGTGATGGTGTCTTCAAAATCAGATAACAGTAGTACCAATCTCATAGGACTGCAAAGAATCAAATGGCATAACCTATGTGAGCATTTAGCCCAGGTCCCAGATCAGGTTGATGATTAATACAGCAATTGCTGCTGCTTCTTTGTTCTTACTGCTTTCGTTACTAGTTTCATAGTAGGGGATGAGCTGTTGGTTGGCTCCTCCCAATCTCCCAGCCAAAAATCCTTGCTAGCATGTCTTTATTTCCCAAAGGACAGAGGTTAAGGGTGATCTATTGGAACACTTTGTAGAGGTTCCACATTCTATTTTTCCCATAGGGAAGTGGTTTTGACTTTTTCTTTTAAGCTTGGAACACTATAAAAAAATCAAATAAAACCATATGCTGGAACTCTGAATACAGAAAATAAATGAAATGGTTAAAGCTCCATACAGAGGCCCAAAATACCAGCTCAGGTGGCTTTCCCCTTATTCACCACTGTCCTTCCAGGCCCCAAATCCATTTCCCCTGTCTCAGTTGCTAAAGTTGGGATTGACCTGAAATGCAAGGGGGTGGGGTGGTTACTGTTTATCATGTCCGGAACTCAACCTTTTACATCCTTGGATTTTTTTTGGCCCACACTCTCTTCATTATTTTATTGTCTTAAAATTGCCAGAGTTGTAATCCTGAAATCCCAGTATCTTGAGTTTTATGACATTCAGTGGTACAGAAATGCCACAGCTTCCTAATTCACTGAGGTTTAAAGAGCCTGAAATTCTAGGTCATTGATTATTAACTAAAATTGAAGTTTTTTCTCATTTCCCCTTTTTGCATCTAGGCAATTGCATGCTTTTGGTACCAAAAGCGGAACCCATGCTTTTCCTACTCCTTCACCCTTGGTTCCTATCTTAAAATGGTGATATAGCTCCCATTTACTTACCACACTTGAATCTGGGCATGCTGTTAGGTGGCTAGAACTCACTGCTCTGCTGGGTAAGTTAGTGGTTTGCCCAGCTTTCAGACTTTCAACTAAAATGAACACAGCTCTATCTTTTGCATTCTCTGTACCACAATTCTACTATATTCCTATATTTCAACAATTGCAGACTAAGCTAATAAAAATGAGTCTCTTCTTGAAGAAATCTCGGTCTCCTTCAAGAATCATTTATTAGACCACTGTCATTATTGATTACTGGACTGAGAATAGTAGCCTTCATTCCCATTATGGAACTCTCCCCTAGTTCAAATTCTCCGAGTTCTTAGTTGTGTGACCCTAGGGAAATAATTTAATGTCTCTGTGGCTCAGGATAAAAGGGGATTAAATCTATATAGTGCTTAAAATATATACGCTTTTGGCCTGTAATAATTGCCCAGTAAATATTAGCAGTGATGACAATTATTATTTGGTTGGTTGTTACCTAATAGAATTAATTTTCCAAATTGTGGTCAACAATTTTCAAAATAGCATAACAGAAACTCAATATTTACCTAAGATAACGTTAATTCAGGGGCAACCCACTCGGGCCCCCTTCTGTCCCTCTCTTGGACAGAAGCTTTCTTTCCCTCAGTAAATATATTCTGCTCTTAACCCCAAAAAGAAAGCTAGTTCAAACACCATATTATTTTCTTTTAGCTTAACTCATGATTTGCTGGGTATCAAATGCTGATCAAAAACTTTACACAGCAATTTTAAGTATTTTTGCTTAATACATTATGAAAAATTATTAATACAATCAGTACAATTTTCAAATTTATTTATAACCTGCAGTGCATAGAGATAAGTAACTGAAGCAGTCTTTCGTGGTGACATTGTGAAACCCTTACCAAGTAATAAGAGATGTATGGTAGTACGTACAGTCCATCCTTCCAAAGAAACAATCTTCAAGCTAACTGTATGCCACACTGATTCCCCAAAAACAAACTTTATAATATCCTGGGGGCATACTGAGCTATATCAATGCATATATTTATCAAATAAAACTTCAATTCACTATCATAAAAACACCATGATCTTTCATCATTTTAGGACATAAAGATGCCCCAAATCAAACCGACAGGATGAGGGTTGAACTTATCTGGCATACTGGGACTAGTGTGCTGAAATGGTCAACTCTTTCAGTTTGACTTTTATGCTGGCCACTTAATTACACTGATGTTCGTTATCCCTGCACTCTGGTTATACTACAGACAGATTGCTCTAGGAGGATCACTTATTTATGATGAAGATTTTGTTTTCTCCAAATGTCAGTCCCTAAATGATGCAAAGAAATTATGCATTATTCAGAATGAAAGGAAAATAGAAGACATCATTCTCTCTCTTTAATTTACTTATTACATATGAGAAATCCAAAGCCCCCAAAGGGGAAAGTATATGCCCGCTAAGACACAGCTAGTAACAAAACTCTCCTAACTGAATTAGAGATTTTTTAGTTAACCTGTACAATGGTTAAAGAATATTAAATCAACAGATTGCTCAACCGTTGGGCCTCATCATCAATTACAGTGTAATGAGCAGTACTGCTGGTTCTTGGCATCGCATTAGATGCTTTATCAACAGCCTCCCCTTGCCAAGTACACAGTACTCCAAGGGAAACACTGGCACCCAGCCCAAAAGGACTACAAAGTAACAAACAATTCACTATTTTCCCCCTTTTCCTCACAAGACTAGCCAGTTTAATTATCAGCATTTTTCATCAAGTTTTGAGGTTTTCTGCTAATAGCTTATGTCAAATGATGATCTCAAGTAGTTGCCAAAGCGCCAACATGGTAGGACTGATAGTTTAGATAAATCACTTTGATTTCAGCAAGGAAATGGATTAGAAGAAGCAGTCAAGAAATTGAGCATAGGAAAAATTTCTCAGACCGAGGGTGGGAGAGTGGGTAAGAGGACTAGAGGGTTCAATGAGGTCTATGATAAATCTAGTGGGAATAAAAGTGAGGAAGGCTAAAAGATAGGCAATGCTCCCCTTTAAGGTTTTACATGTATAAATG